ATAGCTGATGAAACACTGAATAGGGTTCAATGAAACTCCCAGAAAGTAATAATTGGCTGTAAATCTACAACTGATCACATTTGGCAGTCAGCCTAATTCAAGATGGCCACCACTGACSGTAGCATACACAAAAATGGATACAGTGGACAGATACTGAGCTGAAATTTGGTGTGGTAGTAGCTGACAGTCAAGGCTGGTTTATACTTCATGTTGCRTGCCTTATCCTGCCAACGACAAAAATTGCGTAAGTTCTATTCATTATCCCAAGTGGTACTTGTCGTGCATACTACCCCCAGTCAGAACTGTGGACTTTGTGGCTCAATAGAGTTGCAAACTCGGCCCCTTTGAAATATGGGACAGCTCCACCTGGGTGGGGCTTAATGATGTAATGTGTCACTTATGATGTCTTCACACAATATTTCTTAGTTCCCCAACATTTGAGTTACATCCACCTAAACACTATTTAATCTTGTTTCTGTTATTTCCACATGATGGATTAAAAAGAAGGATTTAATCAATTTTAAAAAAGAAAACAACTGCTGATGGACTCAATAAACAGAAGGATAAAAAATGTAAATTTAAACATATATGTTGTGATTATTAAACTTTTCTAAGCATGTACCACTTCAGAAAATAACTGTTCAAGAAAATATTAATTAAAAAAATGTAGGTCAGCACTATACTACATCTGTATAAACATTAAATGTTTTTTTGAATGATTTTTATGTTTCAYATCTCTTATTTCATCCATGTTTTCAGTGATTAGGTCAAATGTGCCATTAAATAGTTTAATATATTTGAGGCAGCTTTTAGATCTATAATATTAATTTATTATAAAAATATGGTCACCCACCATAGCAATAAATTATTGGATGTTCTAATGCAACCCAAATCACTTTTTTTTGGCTGACAGTCCAAACACAACAAATCTGATTACTTCACATTTGTCCCAGGTCTTTTCAGTATGTGGTACTGAAACAGATACATATCTTATATTTTTCAAACTRAACGCTCATGTCTCATTTCATCTGACTTACATCAGTGAGGTGGGGGTGAGCAGATTGATACAATAATAAAGACACTAACCTTGAGTCATGTTGTTTAAATCTTGTAGTTCCACACGTCTTCAGCTACAGAACAGAAATCCAGTTGTTTTATTCTTTTAAATTTACGTTTCCTGGATGGCTGATGATCTATAGAAATACATGAATGTCTGTCTCTTTCGGGCCAGATCAATGCTAAATTTTCTGAATTGATACTTCCAACACATTATTTTGTTCCATAAATACACACTGCATGGGAACAGCCGACCAGGGGCAGGTTCAGATATAAACACTGAACTAAATAAGCATGTCAGATTATTAATTTACCAGCTCTAACTGCACAACAATTTAGGAATGAACATGTTAACTAGTAGCTTGTGCTGAAGCTCAGTAAACAAGCTAATGGAGCTGCTACATTCTGCTTTACAGTCATTTTAATGCCCTCAGTGCTTCATATGGACGTTGCATTTGCCCACCGTCTCGTCTGCTGTAACATGACAGCTCTGATTGCAGGCTACATTTAGAATATGGGACACTTCAGTTTGTCTGAAAATACGGATCATCCTGGCTAATATGGGATAGTTGACAACCCTGGCTCACAGTATGTGATTGGTCAGAACTTTGTGGGCGTGTTTGCTCATGTGGAGCAGCACGCTGAGCAGCGCTTCTTTCTGTAGGTCGTTTGGCTGAAAATGATTCTTTCCCAGAAACCAATTGTTAAATTAACAAGATGAACAGCTTTGATGAGCAGCTGGTCTGATCCTATTGAGCATGTGAACATGAAGCCAACGTTCACGCCTTCTTCCCATCTCCACCAGTAACAAGGAAAAACACCTTGGACTACTCCTCAGACTCCTCTCCCAATACAACACAGATACATTGAGTGGTAAAATATCTAAAAATAAATCTATCCTGCTAACTGTTGTTTATATGATTAGCTTCGAGCTGTGCTACATTGGGAGTGCTGTGGGAGGGCAGATCGGGTGAGAAGTTATGATAATTTCACTCCCACTGTGTTTTCAGTCCATTTATTCTTGGTCAGAAGAAGCTGTTTAAAATGATGTAATCCCTGATCCACTGTCTCACTTCGTCTTAAAGTACAAACCAAGCTTCACAAATTAACAGTTCATGCATGGGGTTGTTCATAATGTTATTTTCAAGGTTTGACCAAAATACTAACAATAGAGGATCTTAATCTAAATATCTGGGATAAAAAGAGACATTTTTTCAAACAATGCTAGGCCTTCAATTGGATCATGGAGTTTATTTTCCCCATGGCTGTAAGGACAGCCTAAAAAATGACGCCAAAAGCAGTTTGAACAATGAGTAGATCTAATATTACTGTATGTTGCAGTAGTATGTGAACCTTTGGTTGTGAAATGTGGTCATTCACCAGGGGTCACAAAGTTCCACTGTGCCTAATAAGCTCAGTGTTCATTTCTTAGAGCAGCTTCCTGAAGGATCCTTGCAAAGGAGAGTCACAACCATGAAGGCCCCATATGGCATGTTGTTTCTCTGACTCAGTCAGGCATACGCAAATGCAGCTTTCCCCTCCACTGCCTACAGAGATGCGAGCGAGCCCACAGCAGGTGAACCTGTCACAGCGAGCACCTGCAGGATCCTAACTGCTGGCGGGGGAAAACTTAAGGACAGAGGATGTTTAGTCATTCGGTGCTCTGCTCCTCCACCAGTGAAATGAACTAATGAATTTTAAAATGACGCAGTTTAACACAACAAAAACACAAAACACTTAGCTTTTCAAAATCAACTTTTAAATCATTTTTATTTAGAATATTGAACTTTCTCATTATTTAGCTCAATACTTCAGTAAGAAGTAAAAAGCCATGCCCTTTTGATCCTTCAGTACTTTGCACACATGCTACAATTTGTTTAAATGTTGATTTATGAACTAATAGACTGTAATTGCTGCTCAGTGCCACTGTTAATCCAAGCTGTCGGCCTCCTGAAGCACATTAGGCTAGATTTGTATAATGAAGTAATTAGCTCAATTATGACGAAGAACATAGGGATGGTGAAAAGAACTGGGAATAAGAGGAAAGAAACTACTCAAGAGTCATGAGTGTGATTTCTGTCTTGCTTTTATGAAACTGTCTCTCTCAGTGGAGAACATTTAAACAGTTTTATTGTGAAGAAATGATTTTTTTTAATTGAAGCATTCACATGTTAATAAAGTTCATTTGAATCTTTCTTTTCTTTTCTTTTCTTTTTTCTTTTTTTTGGTTGTTTGTTGGTGCCAATGTTCTGGGCCCTTTTTCTATACCATCTTGTGAATCAATTAAGTCCTGCTTTTCCTTTTTTATATCAGAAAAAATAAATCCTTGGGCATTCTGTTTGGCTTCCTTTACCCAGCAGACGCTGCCATCACACTCAGGAGTGCTTCATTGTCTGCTGGTATTGTCATTGTTATTAGTCGTTTAGATTGCCTGTGGAGGTATCGACAGGCTCCGGGGGAAGCAGGCGTCAGGCTGGATAATTAGTTGTTCTTCGATGCCAGACGGGCACATTGCCGTCACTTAGAGGGGAAATGGAAAGTGGCATCACTATCAGAATAACACCAAAGCAACCTTTGGTGTGACGGTTGATTTCCAGTGCATCTGTCACACTTCAAGTCATAAACCTCTTGGCAAGGCAATAGTGCCCAGCTATAGTTCAGCAATAAACAGCATAGAAAGAACATTGGGCCTCATGCAAGAACCGTTCGTACGCACAGATTTGTTCTTAAGTTGTGTGTACGAGTGATTTAGGAGAATTTGTGGCATTCACCAATGTTTTCGTATTCTAAGATTTTTTTCAGATACGAACAAAATTCACGAGTGGTCCAGACCTGTCGTATATTTTACCAGCAGTCAGTCTGCTGTTATCCAGATGGGTTTTCTTCACTAATAACTTTATATTTCGTTAGTTTGAAGATATTTTGAGTTGAAAATAAATCACACTATGATTATCTTGACAATAGGCTATTCTGCTTGAATTAGAGTTATAATTTTAAATGTAATAATTTAGACTAACAATATAAATTGTCCGTCCGTTTTCTGCCGCTTATTCGGGATCGGGTCACGGGGGCAGCAGCAGAGAGACCCCGCTCTCCCCAGCGACACCTTCCAGTTCGTCCTGGGGGACTCCGAGACGTTCCCAGGCCAGAGGGGATACACAATCCCTCCAGCGAGTCCTGGATTTTCTCCAAAGTGCCAGACTTATTTTGAAAACATTTTAAAATGCTTATTTCAGAACCGCAACTGAGACCACTTGCGACCGCGCAGGGTGGAGTGGGGTAGGGTGGGTGGGGTGTTGTGGTGCACGACCGTGTGGCTTCTGAATAAATGAAAATGATTTAACACAGTTGTTTATACTTTTAGCAGCTCTTTTTATTCCACAGCTGACCTGCTAAAAATGACAGATTTTCTTTTCTGGATCTCTGACAGACGGACTTCAATCTGTGAACTTGTAAAGTTCTTCTTTTTAGTTTTCGCTGTCATTTTCATGAATGGACACTTCCTGATATCTGAGGCAGGAAACATAACCTTATATGGTGTTTTTGGGGTGGGAATTATGCTAATCTCCTCTCGCGTGCACGAGCAGCTGCATACAAACAGGTGAAAATTTACGCAGCTCATTTCCACACTTTTCCTGAAGATAGAAGAGTTTGTTGAATCTGACGTGACATGTTCGTACGAACCCTTTGTACGAACAAAAGTAAGAGAAATTTAGGATAAGAACACAAACATGTTTTTGCATGAGGCCCATTGTTCTTGTGTTTGTTGGAATTAGCAGTGCTGTGTTAGAACTGATGATATTTGTTTTAGACCTGATAATTTGAATAAATACAAGAAAAAATATTCAGTTCTCTTGTTTATTTATTTGAAGCCACTTTGGTAAATTCCCCTTTCATACCAAAATGTACTGATTTTGACATTCAGGAAACTGCACCTCCCAATTTCACATCATCATACTTGACCTTAGCAGCTTTCTTGTCGCGGTGCTGCTCTGCTGCCTTTTCTGAGAACTGTGGTTGATGATGAGGACCAAAAATACAACCGTGAGCAAAGTGCCCCCAAAGCCCAGCAGGATGCCGTACAGAAGAGGCCAAACCACATCCAAAGGGCTCTTTGAGTACAGAGGGACAGGAGCTCGCTCCAATACCAGGTCTAGGTCCCGCCACGTCAGATCTTTCACTAACAAACACAGCACAGACAGGACACACAYGCTTCAACATCACAGTCCAAGAAAGATGGGAGCAATTTAGTCAAGCTTTAACTTGAAGGAAGGACTCAGGGGAAAAAAATAAATAGACAGGTGATAATTACATTTTTGAATCTGTAACTGTCCTGGGAAATATTCTTTGTACAGTGAGAGTGTTGATGTTGAGACGTAATGAGCTGGAAGCGTGCCCGCAGCAACCACATCTAATCCAGCATCTCATCTAAACACTTAATAGATTCTCGGTTCAGGGAAACACATCATTTGTCATTCAGAYAATCTCAAGAGGTATAACCCAAAAATCTTCTCTTGGCATTGATAGTGTGTGAAATCTCTGCTTATACATGAACACGTATCCTCAGTCCTGCATATGTACTAATTGAAAGTGGGGCTTTTGGTTGTATGAAAAATGATCTTACGCTTAGCTTTCCTGACTTTCTGATGCTGATGGGGTTTTGTGTCCGCATTTTCTGACAGGATGCTTAGAGAGCTGACATATTTGTGGTAGTCCTCAACGTAACGTTTCAGGCTTAAGACTTTATCCTGGTTGATGTTCTTCCCCATCTCTGTAAAAAAAATAAAACACAGAGAATTGAGTGTGAAATATATTTCCATATATTTTAGAGTGTAGTTCTATAGAAAAGTTTTGAAGAAAAAAACAACAACCACAATTCCAATGAAGTTGGAACATTGTGTTGAACTTCAATAAAAACAAAAATCAATGATTTGCAAACCCTTTTCAATCTATACTCAATTTAATACAAAAGGCAAGATGTTGAAATGGATAAACTTCATTGTTTTTTTCCCCAAATATTCTCTCAATTTAAATTTCATGACAGCAACACATTCCAAAAAAGCGGAACAGGGGCAACAAAAGTCTGGGAAAGTTGAGGAATGCTCAAAAATACTTATTTGAAGCATTCCCTAAGTGAACATGTTAATTGGAAACAGGTGAGTGTCATGATTAGGTATACAGGGAGCATCCTCGAAAGGCTCAGCTGTTCACAAGCAAGGATAATGTGAGATTCGCCACTTTGTGAACAATTGGAGAAGCAAATAGTCCAACAGTTTAAGACCAATATTTCTTAATGTACAATTGTAAGGAATTTAGGCAGAAAACCAACACTGAATGTTTGTGACCTTCGATCCCTCAGGCAGCACTGCATTAAAAACCACCAACATTCTGTAACAGATGTTACCACCTGGGCTCAGGAACACTTCAGAAAACCACTGTCAGCTACAAGTGCAACTCTACCATGCAAAGCGAAAGCCTTAAATCAACAGCAACCCAAAGAGTTCATCTGAGATGGACTGACAAAAAGTGGAAACATATCCTGTGGTGTGATGAGTCCACATTTCAAATACAAATTCAAAAATACTTTATTGATCCCAGAGGGAAATTTGGTGTTGTTGTAACCCATTTGACAAAAGAGTTATTGTAGATACTGATGGCTGTGGACAGGAAAAATAAAATTCTAATTGCTTTTGGTAACCTTGGACAACATGTCCTGATGCATCTCAGTAATCCAGGTAAAAAATCAAAAGGAAAAAAATTGTATAGGTCCTCTGGACGGGTTCTTCTTTAATGAAACGTTTCGTCTCTCTTCCAAGAGACTTCTTCAGACTTGGACAACATGTCTTCCAGGCTAAAGAGCAAAAACACTGTCTGGATCATTGTTGGCACAAAGTTCAAAAGCTAGCTTCTCTGATGGTATGGGGGTGTCTTAGGGCCCATGGCATGGTTAACTTCCACATCTGTAAAGGCACCATTAACGCTGAAAGGAACATACAGGTTTTAGAGCAACATATGCTATCATCCAAGCAATGTCCCTGCTTATTTCAGCAAGCCAATGAAGACATATTCTGCACGTGTTTCAACAGGGTGGCTTTGCAGTAAAAGAGTGCAGGTACGACACTGGCCTGCCTGCAGTCCAGACCTGTCTCCCTTTGAAGACGTGGGCTGGACTGTTGAACAACTGAAGTTGTACAACAGCCAGGAATGGGTAAGAATTCCACCTACAAAGCTTCAACAATTAGTTCCTAAATGCTCATTCAGTGTTGTTAAAAGGAAAGGTGATGTAACACAAAGGTAAATGTGACCCTGTCATAGCATTTTTGGAACATGTTGCAGGCATCAAATTCAAAACGAGTGAATGTAGTTTGTCCATTTGAACATTATACTGTAAACAGTATCTTGTCTTTGTAGTGTATTTAATGGAGTTTAGGATAAAGATTTGCAGATCATCAAGTTCTGTTTTTATTTATGTTTACACAACATCCCAACTTCATTAGAATTGGGGTTTTATCTTACATGTTGTAGATAGTGCCCGATCAAACCCTAACCCTACTAAAGTTTTGGGTCTGACAGATGAGCTAATGTCTGATTTGAATAGTTCAAATAAATCAGAATTAGAATCAGCTTTCTTGTCATTCACACACAACATCAAATATGCAATGCAGAATGAAATTGCAAAGAACACCCGTTCGAAGAAAGATACACGACAAACATGGGGGAACAGATGGACAGGTCTTGCACAACATGGTCGCACTACCTTTTGCAGCTTGAAAAATAAAACACATAATGGGATAGGTGAGTTAAAAATGTTGCTCTGATCCTATATTTACTCATAAACACAGAATCATACGCACAAAAAATGACTCTAAAGAGCAGACAGCTAAGGAGGGGAGGGGGCTGGGGATCAAACACGTTACAGGGGCGGGATTCAGTGGAGTTGGTGACGTTCCAGGTTAATACTTCGTGCTGGACCAATCCAAGACCAGGACCCACCAGAGTCCAGAAACCAGATCTTACCCTCCCAAGCTCAGTTCACATCAGAGTTTCCCCTTCCTTCCTCACCAGCACCACAGCCTTCAGACCGGTCCCACACGGATGATACAGGGAGAGGGAGCAGGGGAATTAAGTCTTTGTTGACATATCCTCCTGGGAAGTTTTGATAAGTGCTGACCGACCAAGGCCAGCAGCTTCTGGGATCCAAAAGATAAACATGATTGTTTTGGGACAAGCGGCCTCGAATTTCTTGCCGCTTTACAGTCTTAACTGCCTCTCTGAAATGGCAAAAAAAAATGCTGAATGTTCCGAATTTCATCCCCTCCTCACCTCTTTCCATCTGAAACTTCACCCAGGTGTAAACCTACATCTCATGGGCACGCTGCTGAGCTGTGATTCTCATCAGAATCACATCCAGTTTGCGACTCACCTCCCCCAGCAACTGAATCTGTACATTACCAGCATGGGAGATTCATTCCAAATAAACCTAACAGTCATGTTTTTGGTGTGTGGGCGGAACATGGTGTACTCAAAGGAAATCCACACATGCAAACTCTATCCAGCAAGGTCCCTGACCTGGATTCGATCCAGCAACTTTCTTGTTGAGAGGCAACAACTCTATCAAATGTGCCACCATGCAGTCCTGTCTGAATCCACTCAAATAAAATTAAAATGGAATAGTTGTTCATGCAAAATCTGTACCGTATATACATTTTTTACTTAACCATCTGTTTTTCTACTTTAGTTTGAAATTGCAAAAAAAGCTTTCTGAGCATTGTGCGGTAGCTGATGAAACAGCCATCTACTGCCACACAGATGATTATGTAAAGTTTAAATGGTAGCATGTGAACAAACCACTTTGTGCTTGGAGTTGTTTTAAGATGGCAGCAATCAGCTTTGGTATTCAGCCTGTTCAGACAAGCAGTTGTTAGTTCGTCAAGCAGATTTTGCATCAGATCTTAAAACAGCACCAAACCTATCAAACCTTTATAGTTGCTCATTGAAACATGAAACCTGTAAACAGTTGTTTGCATTACAGTAATTTAAACAGAAACATACATTTTTGGCTGCTCTGACATTTGTTGTAAATATAGTTTAAAGCAAAGCTGGAGGTGAGGGGTTATAAATAGCATCTGCGCAAGTTCTAAGAAAAGGTTTGAGATCTGAGCGGTTTAGAGATGGCACCAATCCGCTTTGGTCTTGCCCAGCTCTGATTCAGCGCTAGCTTGTCAGTCAGGTAAACCATTCCTCTAAACAGAGAAAATCTATCTTCAACAAGAAATATGTTAATTATTCAGAGATTTCCCACAGAACTTTACTTGAAATTGCCTGTAATATCTCTTTAACTCTAGTTTAATTGTTGGTGTCTTGCACTGAACATAATTATTCCTAGCAGAACAGGACCAAACAAACCATTTTAGGACTGCATGTTTGAGCAGATCTCCTCAGAACTGCAATCAAGAGTCGTAATTACTACATTCTACATCAGAGTWTTCCACATCAGAGCCACTAATGCTCCGAGCCTTGTCTTACAACTCATCCCCGCATACTTTCCTTGTGTTTTCTTAAACTCCAAAGCTGCTGATGAAAGGAGCAGATGGYTTATTGTCTGGCTGGTGTCAGCTTCACTGAATCCTCTGTCAGATCATTCACACCTCCTTCTCTGCAATGCCACTCGGCTGTGGAACTGCGTGCACGCTGGACCGCAGCACATGCCAGAGACTGGCAGAGTGTAAACTATGTCACTTTKGAAACTCCAATTAAAAGAAATTTCAAAGAAATGAAGCAATTATACTCTGCTGTTGCAAACTGCAGGAAGCCAAAAATAAACCAGTCTTGAAAAACACACAGCCATGTAGCAAAACGAGGCCCTGCTCCAGTTTCTTTATGTCGAGGGACATGTTGTGGAGCGTACTCACAGGGATTTGCTGCTATCAACAGCACTGTACATGATCTGTTTTCATTTGAAATCTGTCCTGTTTGAAGGATCACACAACATGTTTCCATTGAAAACCAGTGAATGCAAGGGGGCATGTGCCATTTGTGTCTCTGTTTATTTCTCACCAAGGGCGATGTCGGTTCTGCCGATGTGCTGCAAGGCACGAGAAAGTCTGTCGTAGTAGGTTTTCTCGCCGTACTTCAGCAGCCAGTCTGTCAGGGCTGTTTGGCACCGAGTCTCACCATCTACAAAACACAAACATATGGCTCTCAGAAAGACAGGCCTCTGAGTGTCAGGCTGCTGCCACAAACTCTCCAAGCTGAGTGGACATGTGGTCCAACTTCTGCCTCCTTTTTTTTTTTCGACAGTTCCTGAAAAGTTTTTGTTAGATCTAATTTCTTGATTAGAAAACTTTCTCCTGTATCTGTATGTACAAGAAACTATTTATTAGGTGTTGCACTTAAACCTAAAGTCTGCAGAAAATTAAACCTGTATCACATTTCTTGTCTAAAGTTTGTTTTCAAAATTATCTCTTTCACATTACAAGTTATTTATGTTATGTATTTATGTTAAATGAAACATTTTCAAAGTTGAGAGATATTCACCACCTTCTAACTTTTTTAATTTGAGGATTACTTAAAACAGTATGACAAGAAAACACATAATGTGGCATGATTTTTTTTGTAATTGCACAAAAAATATTGTAAGAATACAAAAACATTATATTTTAATACACAAAATACATGCTTGAACAATAAATTTGCCTTATTAGAATGTGACGTGAATGTAAAGTAGTTAATTTATGCTGGGACAGCTGCATTCCATTTTTATAAATTTCCATTTAAAGCAAAGCAAAGGGGAAAAAAAATCATAATCTAAATTGCCTTCTAAAAGCACACAAACATTAAACCAAACTGAAAAATCACATCATGTGAGGCTTTTATAACAAATAAACAAATCAATATTACACAAAACAATATTGAAACTATTTTAGCTCAGCGACTGTATTTATTTATGTTTTTTCCTTAGATTTTGAGTATTTGAGCTGCTTTACACAACAGCTTCACCCCATTTCACAGATAAATTCTGTACTTTAGAGTTTACTTAATTAACTTTATTGCTTTAGATGCTTCTCTCTTTTAATATTAACAAAATGGTATAAAATAAAGTTCAAGTTTTAAAAAAGGCGCACTGAGATGACAGGCTTCCAAAGTTTTGTAATTCTGACAATATAAACATCAGAGCTGCTGACAGCTTCACCAAAAAGCTAATTTTCCCTCTAACCCCCTTTTGTACATTTCTGACTCATTTCGTGCCAAATAGTTCTCATCATACTAACACAAGTCATCATATTGACACACAGACACTATGAGTAAAACTTGACAAAAAGCACATTTTTTAAACCCAGACAACCATAAAATTACAACTGTTGGCATGTAAAATAAGTAACACTAAGCTTTATGCAGCACAGTTGTTGGTTTTTTTCATAGTTTGCTTTCCTATAAAGGATTACCTTTAGACTTAAGCATTAGGGCTGTTTACACCCCCTTTATGGCAAGAAAATGCATCCATTCAACAAGATAAAAAAAGCATCCCTCTTTGGTTTGTGTGGTGTCAAAGGTATCCCATTACTTTACTAACCTACAGCAGAGGTGTCTCTCTTTGCTCGAAGACTGAGATCTAGTTGATTATTTTCTGCTGAAAGGCGATCAATATGCTGGAAGATGTCCTCTTCTGAATGAGACAGGGTAAAGAGGAGGTCCTCACACTCCTTGGGTGTCAGCATCTCCACTAAACGCTCCAGCTGATGGACGCCAAGGTCTTCTGCCACTAAACAGGCAAAACACAGACAAGTTAGTTGAAAGAAACAAAACAAAAGCTATTGTGTTATAGACAAACAAATGTGTAATTATATTCCACAGCTGCACTGTTAATTCCACACAATGCATTAGCTAAATATTTCTTTGCAATGAAGTTGTTCTTGTTTGGCTTGAAACTTTTAGCTTCAGCTGTCACAGAGATCAGCAGCTGATTAATCCACTTTCCAATGCAGAAAAAACAGGGAAAAACTGGGAGTTCTTTTCCCTGTTGTTTCTGCTTTGTCTTCTGACTGATGTTGATGATGCAACTGCACCWGCTGCGTGTTTCTCTCACCTGTGTCCTCTCCAAGTGTTAAATTCAGAGGCAGAAGCAGCAAAAGGAGATACGTTTTCCAGACCTCCATGCTAACTGCTAACCTGACAAGGCTGTTTACTTTCAAAATGATCTAAAACTCGTTGAAAAGTAAACAATTAATAATAACATGTTGACTTATGGAAGGTTGTCATGGATATTTGCCCATTCATCTACCCATCGGTCTATCATCTACCTATCATTTATCTACCCATCTATCCACCTACCCATCTCCCCTACTAGCTGTTTTGGTAGCTATCTGGCCTCACAACATAGAATACCTTAAAATACTATATTAAGGTAAATTTGACAGAAAATGAGCTAAAAGTATAGTGTTGTAGTAAGAGTCCTTCACAGCACAGTACCACTCACTGTACAGAATGATTGCTTGAAACCAGGGATGGAAAGTAACAAATTACATTTACTTGTGTTATGTAATTAGGTATGTATTATGTGTACTTTGTAGTTTTTTGACTGACCATTGCAATCTATACTTTTACCTTTACTTGAGTAGAGTTTTTTCAWGTTTTTTACTTAGTTACAGAAATCCCATCCATGAATGAGTAAAAAATCTGAACCTAAATATTAAATGAATTACTGTAATATAAATTAAAAGTGGAAGGAGGAAAAAAGCACCGTCAGTTTGCAGTAGCTGGTACTGTTCGTCACTCGTCAGCTGGTGTGTGATCTGGCAAGAAGTGATTTTTCCTGTAAAATAAACTCATAAAGTTTATGTTTAAACTCCACCACTCCTGCTGGAGTAAAGTAAAACTAAGCAGCTGTGTATTGGCTTGTTACCTCTGTTAGCTTGTGGTTAGCTAAACATTCACCATTCAAGTTAAATTAAAAATGATACGAATTTATGGACCTCTTGAACATGTTTCTGGTGCATGAATTATGAATCCTGAATCAAAATGTTTTTCTTTAGTGGTTTTATCCTTCTTAGCGTATGAAAAATGTTAATTTTTTTTTTCTAAAATTGGATTTTTTTTCAAAGAGTTACACACCTCCACTCTAGTGGGCTACATGCACCTGAGTACTCTACAGTTTCCTATGGATATTGTTATGGAGTTAATCAAATATTTTCTGAATGAAACTTGACATTCTTTTATTTTTCAAAAAATTATTATAAAAAGTATTAAATTACAATAACTGTGACCACTTAAATGAACATCATGCATCTTCATATTTTCGACTCAAGTCATGTATTTACCTCATCTTAATTTGTGGCTGTTTTGGTTGTATATCACTGTACTTTCTACATATTTTGTAGAGCATGGCCCGCAGCACTAGTCTTACTTTGAGGGGCATCTATGTGTTTCCTGGCTGGAAAGAATAATTCAACAGTTTTCCAGAAAGTGTAACTAATACAGAACTTTGATCKTATCTGTTTACAAACATGATGTTTGCTATACGTCTATGATGAAGGCCATTCTAATTAGACCAATACATTTGTGTTCAAGGGTACCTATGACCTTGTTGATCCCTAAAATATTTCAGCTTTTCTTTTCCTTTTACAGACAGWTTTTTGCTCCCTTTCTGAAGAGAGTACAAGTTGGTCTTGGTCCGCAATATTTTCAATTAAATCACGGGGAGACAAACAGCTAAATAAATCTACTGGGTCTTTCTCTTTGACTTTACTATAGCTAGATTACATATTTCATTATTCTACTGTGTATTTATTTGGAAATGTACTAATTCAAAGCACCTCATAACCCCTACAGAGTAAATATATTTGTCATTTTTTGAAATTTATTTCTCCCAAATCCCGAAAGGTGACAATAAAATCTCTTCATATTGTGCAAGAGCTACTTAAAAATATAATAAATATTAATTGCTTTACTGCATATATGTTTAGTCACATTTAAGAATTGATTTCTTCTAAATTTTGTTGACAACAAACTCTTTTCATGTTATGTAAAATGGTTTCTTATATTATCACTAGGATAAATATTTTATTAATTTAATGTATAATTTTGCAAATACACCAAGTCAAGTCACCTCCTAACTTCCATACACTGTGGTTTTGTAATTTTTAAGAATTTTTTCCAAATATTTTTTCTAAAACCACAAAATGTTTAAACAAA